AAATGCAAATGCTCAAAATTCTTCCAGTACAAGGTGATTTCCCAGGGAAGAGAGAAAGGTCTTAAACACAGTAAATAAAAAGCAAAACAAAAGCTTTTAGGCCTCCATCATAAGATGTAATGTCTAGACCAGTACATTATCTGGAACAGTTAGCTGTCACCTTCAGGCTCCATTTTCCAAGACTTTCTTCAAAGCTCTAAGAAATACAAATGCTGAAAACAGTTCTTTTTGTTTAGTAATAAGAGAAAGTTGTCCTACAATCCCTGCATCTTTGTAATCAGCTCTTTACCTCTAATAAAAGGCCTCTTGTCTAAATCTTACGAAAATTTTAAAAGCCAATTTAGTTCTTTAGCTAGGTCTCAAGAGATTTCTGTTAATCAGCAGCTCTGTAATTGTGGATTTAAAACAATGGCTTTTGTCATCATATTCCTCTTGCATCTTTCTACCTTATTTTCTCTTAAAGGTTGGAAATCTGTTGTTCCTTTTTTTTTTTTTTTTTTTTTTTAATTTTTATTTCCATATATGAAGATTCTTTCTTCTAGCAGGCTCTGGACAAGGTGTGTAGACTCATCACACTGGGGACTCTAACCAAATCCCTGTTCATATGAAAATTAAGTTACATCATGGAACAATGAAGAAATAATGCCATTTTAGAGAAAATTTCCCTGGGACTAATGCCTATGAAAATGTAGCAGTCATATTAATACCCACGTTACTTCAGCAAATAAGATACATGGAGACAGTAAGTACTGTTACAAGATACTAGGAGATTAGGTCCCCGTACATCTTCCTTCTTAAATGTGTATCTCTCAACAGTTGCAAAAATGGGAGCCTGCTACACTTTTATCTTCCACAATGGCACAAATTTTCCTTTGCTTGACACTTTTCAAATACTCACATATAAGCTACTTATAACTCAAGGGCACAAAAACCCTAGAGGTTATCTATTTTGAAATGGTGTCTTTAAAGCTATTAAATCTGACCTTCTGTCACAACATAAAACTTTGTCCATTAATTCCTAAAGCAAATTGGTAATTTCTTTTTGAAAATTTTTGAACTGCATTGAACCTCATACAGTACCCATCAGCACTTGTTACTCCTAAGCACAAGAAAAGCTGCATTTAACCTACTGAAATAAGTGCAGAAAACACCTGACATTCTTCTTTAGTTGCTGGAATGGTTGAACCAAGTGAGGAAAATTTTTGTCCTTTCATTTCTTTCTGGACCGTACTTAGGTGTATAGGTTTGCCTTAAAAGGATGACATAAAATGCTCTACCAAGTCTTATCCTCCCAGCATCTCAGCCTCTGGTGAACAGTAGTGCTACTGTTCTCTTTGAAGCAGCAAACAACTTTCTTTGCTGCACTGCTACATTATTTTGAACTTTGGATTTACATACCTCAGGAGCACTACACAAAAGTGAAAACTACGGTGATGAGATTTAGAAGAACCATATTCAGTTTCTTACTATCTTCTGTACTGAACAAGCTGAAGTAGACAAGGTCCTTAGAGACTAAGAAAATGACAGTTAGTAAAATGAGAAAGTTGATTTCTTACAGATGAAATGAAGACCTAAAGATGCAGAATAAGATAAATAATCAAGCTGTGGAAGTTCTTTGACTTGGAGACTTTTATTTTATATTTTCTGGGAAATGTGTAGCTGTTGACATGTAATAGGAGCAGTGTATGCCTTGCAGCTTTTCAGATTATTTAATTGACTGAAGGTTCCCTACAGTCTAAAACTTTCAACTGAGAGCATGTTTTTTTTTAACAAACTCCAGATTATTAATTGACAATGACCTTATACCGAAGATAGATAGGCATTACACCCAGGCAGGAAGATATTAGCATGGGTAACACAACAAAATAAGGTGAAGTAGAGTTCCATCAAGTGGCTTGGGGGAAGAGAAAGTACTGACACTGTCTTTGCCTTCTCATTCCCAGTATGGTTCTAGAAACATGTTTCAGTGATCTTAAAAAAGACTTTTTGGAATAGAGGTTCTTGATTTCACTTTCTGCATCAAAACTCTGCTAATGTAAGTGATGATGTAGAACTCTTTAAGAACTTTATAATGTTTTTTCCAGCATCCAAAGGGACCAATCAAGCACCTAATGTGTTTAATTTTCTTCTGCTTTCCAGTGTGCACTTATTCACATTAAATTATTTCCGTTTTTTCTTATATCTCTCTTAGAAGTTACTTTTATTTCCACATCAGTTCTGCATAGTGTATTTATACATATGCACATAGCTTTTCATATTTAGCTTTTGCTAAATAAATCAAGACCTACTGGTCTCTTACAGCAAAATCTCCATCAGCCTAATCATTCTAGTAGCCCTTTTATTCAAAAACTTAAAGAAAAAAAAAGAACTGACCATAAACACACAAAGTATGCTGGAGGTCTCATCAGGACCCTGTACAACAGTGTCAATGCCTTCTTTCCTTTGTAGGAGACATTCCCAATTCATTGAAGAACCACAGCTGCCTTTTTTCATTGGCAGCTGTCATCTGGATTTCCACAATCAGAAAATCTTCTGACAGTTCAGCTGAATGGATTCCAGATTGTAGCAGAATGTGTTGTCATTAGTCCTCAGTCCTACACGCCTGCCTGATTTTGCAACTTAGACCACATGTAATGGTTGTCCATATCTATACCTCTAATCCTCATGGTCATTCATCTCATAGATATCTTGATCCTCTTCAGTACATATGACTCTCAGCCACATCATCAGAGTGTAATTAATATACACTGCCATTTTTGGCACAAAGTTATTAATTAAAGTATTACATAAGATCTGCCTCCTCACAAAAGTCTATTAATAATTTCATTACAGCCCAAGAATACCCTTTTTCTTAACAAATTATAATAGATCACCTTTAACTAGGTTCTCACCCATCTTATAATTCTTTCACTGATCTTCAGCAGTCAACATACCACATACTTCACTCAGGAGGAAAACCTGGACAATTTTGATGCTCAAATTAATGATGCAGCTTTTGTTTTGCAGAAAGACCAGTTAGCCTAGAGCGCTAAATCTGAGCTGAATGCCACTGGCCTAACATACCATTCTTGAAGGCAATATATTGCAAAATACAGCACAGAAGCACTCTAACATTTCTGTAAGGACAGCTATGTAAGAAAAATGGTATTTTAGAAGATAATTGTGTGTCCTTTCTGTTATCTTTGTTCTTCTCTTGCTGCACAAGTGACCATTCTGCAGGTGGCCCAGGATTCCTTCTCCTCTTTCAGAAAGTCAGACCATGCTTTTTTACTGGAAGCAGCTTGAATCTGAGATGGCTCACTGGCTGCTCTGTGCAGGCCATATCATATTCAGACTAGCCCTATGCAAACCCAGTTGGGTGTCTCTTCATTGTGCCATTGGTTCAGAGTTTACAGTTGAGAGTTTGTGTTGAAGGACACCTAAACCCTTTGCAGATCAGACTTTGTCCCAAAAGCAATATAGACTCATTCACCCAACCCCATATTCCAGCCACTGAACACCAGCAGACACAAAATGGCTTCCCACACAGCTAACTAAAGTGTTTCAATGTCCCTTGCCCAGTTAATTCACAATTCAGCTAAGCTGCTAAATAGCACAATTGACTATTACATTCGCAGTTTTCCACTAATACTGTACTCTTCTGCATCTATTTCAATACAAACAAACCAACAAACCTGTTCCCGAACCTTCAACTAAACATCACCATTCTTTCAGAATTCTGGGGCTAAAATTATCTACTCTTACCTCCCAAATCCCTGTCTCCCAGTCAAAATTAATAGAACTCTGTGGGTTCTTCTTCTCTCTTGGCTGTAGTTATTTCCCTCTCACACTTCCTTCCTGTCACTTCTGCCTCTAGCATACATCACCTTCAGCATCCCCCATCCCTACTGACATGGGACAAAATTTTTTTGTAGTTTTGGAGCAATGCTGAGAAGACACTATTTATTCCATTATCCCATTCCAATGTCCTGTTTTTCCTTCACTCTCTATTTAATCACCAAGTAATATTTTCCATTTGTTTTCATTTTTACCCTTTTGACTTTTGCACTCGTCTTTTGTTGGTGATTAGTCCTTTTCCATTTCATTCCCTGAAGGCTCACTACTTATGCCTCACATGCTTTCTGAGACAGATATTTGTTCAGTTGGGACAGAAAACCTTTCCCCTAGTGTTTTTCTTACTTGGAATACAAGCAAAACATACTTTTACTATATTTGAGATAAAGAAATTTCTATCCTCCTCCATAATCAAGTCCCTGATTTTCCACTAAATTTATATTTGTGGACTTGTAATCACTGTAATCTGATCTTTACCACTATGTTTCACCAAAACGATGGCCAAAACACTATCATGTTGTTTGTGTGACTCTTCAGTAACCACTTCACAGAATAAAGGGACCCTACAATTGCTTCTATATCAGTTTAGCTCTCATAACAATGCAACACCCTATTCCCGACTAGCAGTTTTATCATAACCTTTTTTAATATTATAAATAAATAATAATAATAAAAAAGCCTTCACTGTACATAATCTAGGTGTTTCCCTTCCTGGTGTTTCAACTGGTTAACAACAGCCACTTCTCTCGGACCAAGTGGCCTTACACGGGTGGTTTCAGCGTGGACACACAGGTAGCGCACAACCCACAGGTCTTGTAGGGAATTTCTGGTGTGCCAGTGGAGCGATCCACGCGCCATACGAAAACCGCACCTCTCGGCTGGGCAGCGCTAACGAGTCCCCCTCTCTCGCTTCTCGCCACGACACTCGGACTTCGGGGAAAACAGCTGGGAGTGACCGTTAACGCCCAAGCAGGCAGCCACCCACCTGCGGCTGCCACCCCTTTCATAGGGAGTCCGGTTGCCGCTTCCTCCTCCTCCTCCTCCTCCTCCTCCTCAGTCACCGGCGGGCCTGAGGTGTCCCGGCGGCCGCCGCCGCTTCCCGCCCGCCGCGGTGCACGCTGGGTAGCGTGCCGTGGTTACCGTTGCCAGGCGGGCGGCGGGCGGCGATGGTGAAGGAAACCGTCCGGGTGTACGCGCGGGTGAAGCCGCTGGGCAGGCGGCAGCAGGCGGGGGTAGGAAGGGGAGCCAGCTGCTGTGCTGCCGTGGGGTGGAGCGGGGCGGCTGGGGCCAGCCAAGGGGCGTCCCGTGGGCCTGCGTGTGGCAGGGCCGCCCGAAGGCGGGAGGGAGCTGGCGGGGAGTGTGTCCGTGTGTCCGTGTGTCCGTGTGTCCGTGTGTCCGTGTGTCCGCGTGTCCGCGTCCGCCCCGCCCGCCGGCCCGGCCGGCTTGTGAGAGCTGAGGGGGATGTACGTGGTCGGGTGCGGAGCGGAGAGCCACAGCCCTGCGCTGGTCTCCGAAGCCTTAAGAAGTTAATAAAAAATCACGAAGTGCAGGAGCTTTGGCTGTAATTATTGGGGGAGGGGGCAAGGAACTGCTTTCCTGCCTCGGTGTTACCGACAGGCTCCACAGGAAAAACATTTGGCGCTGGGCACTGGGTTTGTGCAGTTGAACACTGTTCTGAACAGAGGAGGGGAACGTGTGGCTCCCAGACTTTAGCTGTCCTTGCAAGGGATAAGAAAAATAATGAAAGTGTTACTCTGAAATCACGCATTTCGGTCTCCTCCATCGTCTTCTCTTTTTAAACCAGCTCTATTCATTCTGTCATAGTCTTTCATAGCGTGTTCTTCCAGGTTTTTGGAGGGGGTTGCACTGATGGCTGTGCTTTTTTTTTTTTTTTTTTTTTTTACAACATCTCAGATATTAAAGTGGTATTGTAAACAAATTATGTTAAAGAGGATATGTTTCTGTTTCAAATCTTATTGTACTGTTTACGTGGTAACAAACACGATGTTAGTATGTGCTTTTTTTTGTTGTATAATAGCTGAAGGTGCTCACCTATTAAGCGAAATTTGTATGAAGCTTTTCTTCAGGCAGTTACAGGTGCTAAGCTTACATAAGTGTTATACCTAAGAGCTATGCTGTTCTATTGTAAAATTATTTTGTTAATTCATATCCATGCTTATTAGATTTATTCAGTTGACAATGATGAGAAATCTCTGTCCAACCTGGAAATTATTGTGCCACGTGATTTAGCAGATGGGTTCGTCAATAATAAACGAGAGAGCTATCACTTCAAGTAAGTAAAAGCCTTATGTGTATAATTTCTGCCTTTAGTGATTGATATCACTATGTGTAGTGATTCAGACCTATAGAACCAGGAAAAGCCTATTCTTAAAATTAAGTTTTGGTATAAATACGTTTATTTTTATACAATAATATTTTATATTTTTATGTTTTTTGTCAAACCACTGCGCATCATTATACGTTTCTAAGTCTCATCTCAAAGATAGCATCTTCATTTATCAGTTCTTCTATTTTTACAGCTTGTTTTGAATTTATGTACAAAAATTGAATGCAGGACTGTGTGCTTTCTTGTGATCTAATGAGTTGGCATAGCCTGGCTCAAGATGTCTTGATGTAAAACACTCCGTTCAGAAACTGTTTCAGACATAACCAAAACATGGTAAAGAAAACCAGAGATTACTGAAAGAACAAAACCATGGTTGTAGAATGTAAATATTATTTAGAAACAACAACAACAACAAAAAAGTACCAGCAATATCAATCAAATGTTTTTATCTTTTCAACAGAAAACTTGGATGTAACACTTCAAAATTTTTATGATGAAGAAAACTAGATATAGAATCACCTCTAATGACAAGGTTGAGGTGATCTCTTTCTTAGTTGAATATTCTTTATTTTTTGTAATACCAAATCAAGTAAATTTGTTGCTTTATGCTATTAAAAAAAGAGAGCCCCAGATAAACATCTGCAGCTCAGACTGATGTAATTTTACGTCAGCTAAGGAAATCTGTTCTGCTTGGGAACAGAAGAGCTGACCTTTTCAGCTAGATTAATATGTGAAACTAGCTTAGGTCACAGATGCCCAAGCTAGCTATAATGAATGCTGATATTTATTTCTGTCTTTATGATTTATTAAAAAGTCTGTAGAGATGGATATTGAGAAACACTATGCCTTGTTATCCTTAAGACAATGCAAAAATAATGCTATGGAGTAAGCATTTATTTTTCCTCTATAAAACTCACACTTTCATGCAGTCTGTTGCCTGATCACCTCAAATGTTATTCTCCTTTGTTCTTACTCTCTTATATTGGAATCAAACACAGTTGTTTGAATTACTTGACTGATTAAGTGTTAGCAGGATAGAATATACGCATCTGTGTTTTGTGTATCACATTTGTCCGTGATATTGTACACTGTGCATAATCCCTTGCAGTGCACAGTGCCTTTCTGTATACCTGCTGTCGGTAGTGCCTTGTGAAGTTCTATGTGAGTATACAGTTCCCGATAGGAGGGACGACACAACAGGGCACAAACAGTCCAGGAGGTTTCTGAAGTGTATGAGTGACAGCTTCCTAACATACAATTAAAAAGCCAATGAAGGGAGAAACTCTACTGCACCTCATATTTGCAGACATGGAAGAACTGATCATGGTTATTAAACCTGGGGGTAGCCTTGGCTGCAGTGGCCATGAGATAGTGAAATTCAGGATACTGAGAGAAGGGAGCAAGGCAAAAAGTAGGATCACAACCCTAGACTTCAGGAGAGTGGACTTTGGTCTGTTCAGGGACCTGCTTGAAAGAATTCCATGAGGCACAGCCCTAGAGAGAAGTCCAGGAGATCTGACTGATTTTCAAGGGTCACCTCCTCCAAGCTCGAGGACAATCCATCCAGTTGAATGGGAAATGACACAAAGGCAACAGGAGGCCTGCACGGATGAGAAAACGGCTCCTGAGTACATGCAAACATAAAAAGGAGGTGTACAGGAGGTGGGAGCAGTGTCAAGTGACCCAGGAAGACTGTCTGAGGAATGGGATCGGAAAAGCCTAGATAAGTGTACAGTAGGGGTGTTGAAATAAAGCTGAGCTGCTGGGCTCAGAGGGTTGTCATCAGGGGTACAAAGTCCAGCTGGAGGCCAGTCGCTAGTGTAGTCAATACTGGGATCCAGTACTGTTTAGCATTAATGACCTGAGTGATGGGACTGAGTGAAGCTTCAGCGAGTTTACAGACGATACGAAACTGGGAGGGATGGTTGATGCACCAGACAGTTGTGCTGCCATTCAGAGGGACCTCAAGAGGCTGGAGAAATGAGCCAATAAGAGTTTCATGAAATTCAACAAAGTGAAATGCCAAGTCCTGTTCCTGGTGAGGAAACAATCAGGACAGGCTCATGGCTGACTGAAAGCAGGTTTGCAGAGAAAGACCTGGAGTCCTGGTAGACAAAAAGTTGACCGTGAGTCAGCAATACACCATTTGCAGCAAAGAAGGCCAAAAGCCTCTGGGCTGTATTAGGAAGAGAATTGACAGCCAAGGGAATTGATCCTTCCCCTCTAGTCACCACCAGTGAGATCACATCTGGAGTTCTGTGTCCAGTTATGGGCTCCAGCAAAGGGACACAAAGATGAATAAGGAACTGGAGCATCTGACATGTGAGGAGAGGCTGAGACACCTGGGACTGTTTATCCTGGAGAATAGAAGGCTCAAGGGGATTATATCAAGGTATATAAACACCTGATGGGGAGAAGGGGGGAATAAAGAAGATGGAGCCAAAGGCTTCCCAGTGGTGTCCAGTGACAGGACAAGAGTTAATGGGCAAAAATTGAAATATAGGAAATATCAAAAGGACTTTTTTACTGTGGGGTGATCAAATACTGGAACGGGTTGCCCGGAGAGGTTATGGAGCCACCATGCATAAAGATACTCAAAACCCAACTGGACAGACCCCTGCTCTAGCTGACTTTTCTTTGAGCAGCGGGATTGGAGCAGATGGTCTCTTCCAACCTCAGGTATTATAATTCTGTAAGACAGCTGCAGATATTTTATATTGGAAGGGACAAAACTTAGATTGAACTAAATATCTCCTTGTGACTTACAGTAACTGTGCAGCAGAATGAAGGAAGTAGTTACAAATAAGTGTGAGCCTGGATGTACTGGTGGGATGCTGTATTTGGTTGTAGTGTAATCTATTTATCCAGGTTTCAGTGTGGTGCCAGTTACAAACACTGATTCTCTTGATAGATTTAAAATACGGTTTATTTTTTTCTAAGCCACATCATTTTATCAGAGGATTTTATTGTACAGATCTTGTCAAAGCAGCACTGTGTACAGCCTATTTATGTACGATAGTACAACAGCACGCTGTGGCTAAGACTACAGGGAAAACATTGTACTAAGTTATGTAAGCCTAATGATGTAAACATTGACTATTACAAACACAAACAAAAATGTATGAATCAAGTAGTGTTTCAAGATTCTAAGCAATTATTATTTGTTTAATATCTACAGATTTCAGAAAATTTTTGATCAAGAGGCAAAACAAGATGTGGTTTTTGACAACATTGCCAAACCAGTAGCAGAATGGTACGTTGTTTTTCTTGTAAGTAATCAGAGTAACACAGGGTCAAAAATAGCTTTCATTGTATTACTTGGAGGAGAGCTGGCAAGTGTTTCTCTTGCTGTTGTAAAAGTGGATTGATGTTTTAGTTTTCTGAATACTGATATGTCCGAATCTAGGAGATGTGCAACAATGCCCTGAGAATTTTATGTGTGGTAAGGTTCCATTTTTAACTCTTAAAATAACACTTCTGCTGTTGCCTCTTTTGTTGCATAGGCATAGAAATCTATGTCTAATTAGTTTTTTGTCTCTAATATAAGCTCACTTCATTGCCTTAGAAAAGCATTCCCTTTATAGTTCCATGAAGGGGTAAACCTAATGAAAATCTTATCCCCCTGTTTAGTTTTTATGAAGGTAAGGACACTGATGAACTAATACCAGTGGAGATATTCTCAAATTTTGCCCTTCCTATTTTTGTCTTAATGTGCCAGGCAGTCATTTTGTCACTGTTCTTGTTTTTCTTCTCCATAGCACATTCAAATAATGCTCATATTTTAGAGTATACAAAGCCAAGCATTAAAGACTGATGTAGAAGCCCTCTTCATTCACTGTGTGGATTGAATGACACTGTGAACCAGCTGGGTTTCCAAAATGCCATTCTCTTTGCTCAGCTTATGCCCACCTTGCTGAAGTTAGCACTGATTTTAGTGGGGGAGAAAATCCCACGCTGAAGGAAGAAGAATTTCTGCATAATGTTTCTTTGGTTGTCAAAGTTACTGCTCAGAATCCAAACTCGTAGGGCGTTGTGAAGTATTACTTTAGATACCAACTTCTTTCTCATTCATTGTCTGGCCCACCCGTTGGTTTAAGCTATGATACTGCAAGTTCCTCTTCAGCCTATTGAACTGTTATGTGTTTTGCACTGTAGGAAAACCGACATCCTCAGTTGGACACTTAGTCTTTCTCAAATTATTACTTGGAAGTACAAATATGCCTAGCTCTTTATCATTTAATTTTCTTGACTTTTTCCCCCCCCTCTATTTTCTTCATAAAAGTCCCACAAAAAAAAAAAAAAAAAACCAGGAATGTAACTTACAGTGAATTTGAAGCTTCGCTAGAATAAGGTGCTTTAAAAATTTTTGTTATATTCTTCTTTGACCCAAAAGACATCTCCTTGCTTATCTAACTTTATAACATATAGCCTCAGGTTAATTCACTTACTTAATTTTAAATATTTCTGGGTTTAATGGTGATTGCAGAAAAAAATTCTTTATCTTATTGGACTGTGCTTGGAAAGAGAAGAGTTAAAAGTCTTGTCGTTATATGCTATGGATTGAATTATACTGAACAAAAACTCAGAGTATCAAAGCTAACTAGCAACAGACTGACTGATTTTTTTTTTTCCCCTCCTTTGGAGTGTTTTGCTAGAATATGGAAAGGTTTTCCAGTTGAATAATTCACCTCTACAGTGCTCTAATAAGCAGGAAGTGGAATTGTTTTCCTTTATTTCAGTGTTAGCTAATACAAGATTTTTCTACATTTATTTGCTCCATTATGTAGACTTTAGTTTTGATTTTTAGATATTTTTAAGTACTTTAAAGTACTTAAATGCTATTAAAATCAATGGTGTTTAGGCATATAATTACCGCCAAATAGCTGAGTCTGTCATGCTAAAATCAATTTATAAAATAATTCTTAACTGAATCAAGACTATTTTGACTCTGAGTGTCATAACATGTTAAAGCTTCTATTCTAATTGATGTTTGTATTGTTACTAATAGAACTGAATGATAATTTTGCTTGTGCTTTTATAGCAGAGTAGGCAGTACCTAAACTATATTCCTGTTTCTCATACTCTTCCTTATTTTTTACCTTTTCTTAGGCAAAAATACATATTTCAAAATGTCTATGAGGTTCCTTGTCTAATGGAATCCTGAACTGTGCCTGAAATTTATTTCACTCTGCAGTTAATGACTCAATTTTCCTTTCCGTTGTGGGACAATAAGAATTGCCCTGTTAGACTGAAAGACCACAGTCTTTCATAGCAAAATGTTCTTCATTATTTGTTTCTTTCTAAGTCAACATTCTCTTTTGGGAAAAACCATTGAAAATGCACTCATTTCTGTTGTTGGAGTCACTTTATTAAGGGAACCGTTTTTGTCTGTATATTGCCAGGGAAAAGAAAGTAGCAGGAAAGTATCAATGAAATAGCTTACTAACATTTTGAGGCTCTTTGCCATGCGTACTTACAGTCATGAGAAATTTCAGTGTCAGACTTGAGTGCTCAGAATAAAAATCTTGGGCATTGTTTAAACTAAAACCAGCAATGCAATGTTCAGGATTCTAAAATCTATCTAGTTTGTTCTTAGATGGATGGAAATTGGATGCAACTTTCTCTTTTTTTTTTTTTTTTTTTTTTCCTTTTTAAGTCTGCTTTCTTTGATGTTGGGCCACTACTCTTCTCTAAGTCCAGTAACTTTGTCATCTTGCCTGTGGTTTCAGAGGCACCAGACATTTGCTTCTTCAGTCAAAAGTGCCAGCCTCTGCAAACCATTATAAACATGTGATTTGCTTGATTTTTTATGTTACTTTTTTGTTAATGCTTGAGTCATCTCTTACTTGGTTTCTTTTTATTATTTCTTTGTGCATTCCTCTTTTCCTTTTAATTTTAAATATACTTGATATTTTTTTTCTGCAGAGCCAACTTGATCTTTAAGAAGCAGCACTATTATTCTATCACTCTATCAAAAATAGGGAAAATAAATAACATCCTTCTTTTAGAGTTTGCTAACAATTAGGCATTGCCTTAGTCTAACAACAGTACAAGGCTACTCTTATAATGCATCTAATATTATTGTTAAGATGATGAATACAATCAGAAATTAAGTAGAAAATCTTAGTGCTTTAGTTTTGTTTTCAGTTCTAATATGGCCAATGTTTTGTGTTGATTTAAAGAATAACATTGAAAATATTTTCTCTTCAGATGTATCATGCAAATAAGAGACAGCTCAGCTGTTTATAAACCTAATGACAGTCACCTGTGTTGTTTTGAAAGATCTGATAGCCTCCAGGATAATACTCCCATTGCCGCAGATTTTGATTTCTTCTCATGTGCTGTGTTTATCCTAAAAATTAGCATCTGAAGTATACTGTCATGGTTTAAGTCCAGCCAGTAACTAAGCACCACTCAGCCACTTGCTCACTGTACCCTGCCCTGGTGGGGTGGGGAGGAGAATCAGAAGAAAAAGTTAAAACATCGTTAGTTGAGATAAGGACAGTTTAATAGGACCACATAAGTAGAGGAGAAGTAGTGATAATACAGTACTAATACAAGAATGTATAAAGTGAGTGAGGCACAATGGAATTGCTCACCACCTGGAACCTGATGCTTAGCCAGTTTCAGAGCCACTATCCCTTCACCCCCTGGCCAGCTCCCACAGTTATATACTGAACATAACCTCATTTGGTATCAAATATCTCCTTGGTTAGTTTGGGTCAGATGTCCTGGCTGTGCTGCCTCCCAGCTTCTTATGAAAATTAACTCCATCTCAGCTGAACCCAGGACATTATCCATCACTTATTCTACACCATCTACATCATGCCCAGATCCTACACTTTTCAATTAATCACCACCTCTTTCCTTATCTTTGAGATATATATAGATATATAGAGAGATAGATATACACACAGAGATATCATTCCCTTAGTCAATGGGCCATCCCTCTAACATGTCCATTGAGTTCATTTAACCCATGTCTTTGGAGCTCTAGCTGTCATAAAAGTCTTTTAGGGTAAGAGAAATGGTGTGTGATGTTAGATTGTTGTGTGCTACATCCAGAACTCACAGCTGGTGTATTTGGCATGGGCCACGTCCACAGTCTGCAGGTTGAAAATGTCAATCTTGATGAAGCTGCTGGGCACCAGTTGCTGAATCCTGTTCACATTCCACCACCACTGCACTTCGCTTAGTTTCATCAAAGTCCATCCTTCAGTGTTTTGGGTGATTCTTAGTGTAGTACCATTGATATGGCATATAGCAACTGTAGTGGTGATGACATACAGTGACAGTGTTATTGAGCAATTACCATCATACAATTTAATTTGATAGCTATTCTGACCCAAAATCAAATGCCCTTAACATACGTATCGAACTTCCTCCATCCTTCCACGTCACCCACAAAGTGCACCCAAATCCTTAAGCAAAAGCAATCCTGTGGATGGTTTTGCCTTTGCCTGAGGTAGGACTAACCCAGACAGTTTTCCCTAACATGATCTTCATGTGCACTGTGGAGAGTTTATCCCCTTTTACAGTATGTGGAAGTTTTGAATGGGCAGGGCTAGCTCAATTGTTAGATCGTCTAATAGTAACTAACCAGGTGGATTTTGCTAAATGTGTATCCATGTTTGAAGGTCCCACCTCCCATTGCTCTCAGTGTAGTCTTTAACAGTCCATTGTACTGTTAGATTTTCCTGGAGACTGACGCATGATAGGGTACATGATATACCCACTCAATGCCATGCTCTTTGGCCCAGATGTCTGTGAGGTGGTTTTGGAAATGAGTTCCTTTGTCTGACCTAGTTCTTTCTGGAGTGCCATGTCACCATAAGACTTGTTTTTCAAGGTCCAGGGTAGTGTTCTGGGTGGTGGCATGGGGCACAGGATATGTTTCCAGCCATCTGATGGTTGCTTTCGTCATTGTAAGCACACCGTGCTTGCCACAGCAGGTTTATGGGAGTATGATATAGTCAATCTGTCAGGCTTCCCCATATTTATATTTCAGCCATCATCCTACATACTACCAAGGCTTTAACTGCTTGGCTTGCTTGATTGCAGCATGTTTCACATCCACTGATAACCTCTGCAATACCATCCATGGTCAAGTTCACCCCTCGATCACAAGCCCATCTGTATGTTGCATCTCCTCCTTAATGACCTGAAGTTTCATAGGCCCACCGAGCTATAAATAGTTCAACCTTGTGTTGCCAGTTCAAATCTACCTAAGCCACTTCAGTCTTGGCAGCCTGA